TATTTTCTGCTGCCCCTTCACTTGCCCAAGCATGATGTCCTCCTCCAGGGACTGCTGTCTCCTGACAACATGGCCAAAGTTCATGAGATAAATTCTAGCCATCCTTACCTCTAAGGAGCACTCTGGTTGTACTTCTCCCAAGACAGATTTGTTTGTCCTTTTGGCAGTCCCTGGTGCTTTCGATGTTCTCCACCAGCACCATAATCTTCTTCAGTCTTGCTTATTCAATGTCCAGCGTTCACCTGCATAAGAGGCAGTTGAGTATACAATGACTTGGGTCAGGCACGCTTTAGCCCTCCCTACCTGGGATTCTATTTTATTATTTTTTTAAAGATCATTTTATTGGGGGCACTTACAGCTCTTACTACAATCCACACCTCAATTGTATCAAGCATATTTCTACATATGCTGCCATCATTCTTTTCTAGACATTTACTTTCTATTTGAGCCCTTGGTATCAGCCCCTCCCTTTTTTCCCTCTCTCCTCCCTCCCACCCTGCTTCCCCTCCTTGATAAATGATAAATTATTGTTTTCACATTTGCACTGACCGGTCTCCCTTCCCCCACAGTTTATGTTGTTCGTCCCCTTGTGGGGGTGTGTGTGATTATCTGTTGATCATTGTGTACATACAATCCATACATCCATCCATTGTGTCAAGCACAAATACCTCTATTTTAATGAATTAGCATATTTACATATGTACACACCTATGTTTACACCTCTATCCATAACTTTGCTTCCTAGATCTTTCCTGTTTCCTTTTACCTTCCTCTTGCCCCACCATCATGCTCGCCCTTCGTCTGCCTCTTAGTAATTTCTCTCAGCTAGATTGTTGTTGCTCCAACACCACTAGAATCTCAACGTTCTCCTCGCTGTTGATTTTAATTCCTTAGTTGTTCCCCTGTCTATGGTGTTGTTTGCTCACCACTCTCTTCCCTTGCCTCCTCCTTCCTGCAAGTCCCTCCAGAATCATCGGTCCTGTTGCTTTCTCCTCGGGCTTACTTCCCATGCCTATCTTATGTAGGTGGGCAAACCAACAATAATGGAGACAAAAAAGATGGAATAAAAAGAGAAAAAGAAAAAAAACCTAGCAAATAAACTGAAAAAGCATTCATAATTTCAGATCTGTGGGACTCTATTTTAAATGAAGAAGCCTGAACCGTTCTCTTCATTTTCCTCCTTCACTCTCTTTCTCTATATGATCAGTGGTCCATATGTGTGTCCACGCGCATGTGTGTGTATATAACAGTCATGTCACTTCCTTTTCCACTCCCCGCCCCCAGAGCAAAGCCAGCTCTGTCTGTGCATCTCCTGTGGTCAAATATACTCTAGGCTGCTGATACTGGTTTTTTAAAAAAAAATTAGATGGGGGTGGGGTGGGGCAGGAGGGCTTCCACAACACAGACCCAAAGAAGCTGCAGCGCCTGTCTATTTCGGAGCCAACTATTGTACACCAGCTGTGGGGGAGCCATAAAGACTGATTTCTCTCCTGTCACATTACTGATGGGTAGATCAGTCAGGACGGAGGAAGAACTACTTCGTTCTCAGGCTGTGTGTATGTGGACTGGATCACAAGGAGTGGGAGAAAATCAGTCAAAGAAGGGGCTTACCCGGCCATGGAAATCCTGGTAATCATCCAGCTGAATGATCGGAGGGTGGGGCGGGGGCCGCGGGAAGGCCATTTCATTAATTTGCTCAGAGGGGCTAGTAATAGGCTTCCTTCCTTCCTCATACTTAGACCAGCGCTAAACCCTACCCTAACCCAGACACTTGAAAGAGTGGAAGACTTTCTCTTGTACAAACTGGATTTCTTCTCAAAAAGAAAAAGAGCAAAGGCAGCTTCCCGCAGAATATGTCTTCTAGGCAATAAGCGCAGAGGCCATGACTGAAGCAGGTGCTGGGGCTGAGGCTGGGAGTGCACCCAAGAGCGTGCACCGCGCGTAAAGGTAAAATGCGTGCATTTCCCTCTGTTAAAAGAAACACCACTGGCTGTGCTTCGCGTGGATGTTTCTGATAGGGATTTACTTGATCACGCCACTAAGTTTCTCTAGGGTTTCTGTTGTCTTCTGTCACTGGGGTTGTTGATTTCTCTAACTTGCGTTGTGAAGAGGTACTTCAGTGCAGCTCGCAGTGGAAATTGCGCTATTATTACAGAGATCGCAAGGAGGTGGCAGTTCCTGAGAACAGTGACTTGGTGACCACCCAACAGTTGTCTTCAGGTGGATTTTAACTCCTGGAGACCTCACGTGTGTCAGAACCAAACTGAGCTCTGTATGGTTTTCAACGGGTGATTTTTTTGGAAGTAGATTGCCTGACATTTTTTTCCAAGGTACCTCTGAAGGACTTGAACCTACAACTTTCTGGCTTAGCCAAAAGCTTGTGAATAGCTTTTGTGAGCTTGTTAATAATAGTTTGCCACACCCAGGATTATTTCTGGCTAAAAGACTCCTCCTAAGGTAGCATACCTCTAATGTTCATAGGAACCTCCTTGGGATTTGAGCTGAATCTGAGTGCTCAAGAGGACTCCCATTGATTGTTACCTCTATCCGTTTGTCATTTCAATGAGAGACCACTTAAATGAGGGAGTCATTGTGTGAGAAAAGGTTTTCTCGTTTGCCCCATTTTTCTCAAAGTGTCATTTAGACAACATAGAACGAAGGAGCCGCAAGGAGACAGAGGCGGGGAGTGGCAACGTGATCATTCTGAACATCCTTGGTGTTCCTTTAATCTATTTTTGTCTCCCCACCTTCTACACCACAGGAAAGAGCAAAATAATGATGTGGATAGCCTCAGGCTTCAAAAATAACCATTCTTGTGTTTGCCTTGTGTGAGTAATCATCTGTGGTGGATGAGTAGAAAAAAACCTCCAAATTTAATTTATTCTACTTCCATGGGGCCACCAAAAGCATAAGGAGTTTGGTTAAAAAAATAAATTTAAGTCTATAGGAAATAACCCCAAATGCTAGCAAAACTTGGTGGTGGGGCTGGTAATTTTAAGTGCTTTATTTTTGGAATGTGTGTGGCTTAATTGATTTTTTTCATGTTATCTTTCTAATGAAAGCCTTAGAATCAGTAATACAAGATCATGCATGAACTTCAAGTGAACAACTGACACGATGTTTTGCTTTGTGTGAACAAATAAAAAACAGTGCTGGTGTGACTTCTGGATTGGTTCCGGGAACAGGAAGTAAACCAAAGTGGGGGAGTTGTCACCAGTGTAGGATTGGTAGTTTAATCCCTACTGAACCAACTGCCAGTCAATTCTGACTCATAGTGACCCTATAGGGCCAAGTAGATCTACCTACCCCTGTGCATTTCAGAGGCTGTACATCTTCACAGGATCAGAAAGCCTCATCTTTCTCCTGTGGAGCAAGTGGTAGGTTCAAACTGCTGACTATGTGTTTAGCAGCCCAACTTTTGTAACCCTCCATGCAATCTATGCATTGTACACATGTTCATTTTTCTTGCTTTGATCATTGTACTGTACGGTATATGAGATGTTAACATTAGAGGAAATGGGATGAAGGCTAGATGGGAAGTCTGTACTGTTTCTGCAACTTTTCTGTCGTTTTAAAATTCAAAGTAAAAAAAAAGAAGGCCGAGGAGGGAAACAAACCGATGGTGCTTTTTCTGCAACTTTCCTCATCTTTCTTTGTTCCAGTTATCTAAACTGAAGCTTTCTTGGGTCCTGTGTACTTGGAGTGGCGAAACAACTGACGGAGGCTTTTCTAAATGATAAGAGTGGACATCCACAGCAGTGAGACTGTTGCACCACCTTTGCCTGATGCTGCCTAAGCAAACTAATCCAGGCCCACATGAAAAAACAAACAAGTGTTAAGGCTCCAAACAAAACAGAAACCCTCTCCTGTCCCCTACCTCCCCCCTTTTTTCTTTGCAACTTTACACTAAAGCTTTCCTCCTTTGGAGCTCAGTGGGTGCTGGGCAAAATCGGTTGGGTGGCAGTTAGTATATAGTCCATGATTGCAGGTGCAGCCTCCATATCCTTATGAGACCCCTTGGTGACAGACCCCAATGGGACATTGTTTGAACAATGAAATTCACTGTCTAGGAAAGTGGGAACTGAAAGTCCAATAGCTGCCTCAGTGGAGTTCTGACACCTGCAATGGTCCCTTCTGGGGAGAGCAGGGTCAACAGCTGCACAGGGGCTCTTGCTGCTCACAGATTCTACTTACAAGTAGCATAAAAGGCTGGTTAATGTAAAGATGGCGTCCTTGGGTGGTACTAACGGTTAAGAAGCTTGGCTGCTAACTGGAAGTTTGAACCTACCTAGAGGCTCCAGGGAAGAAGAGCTTTTTCTGACAGGTCATAGCTACGGAAAATCCTATGGGACACAAATCTACTCTAATGCACATGGACTCATCAGGAGTCAGAGTCAACTCAATCAACTCAATTGACTCCATCGAGTTAATTCTGACTCATAGCAACCCTACAGGACAGGATAGCGCTGCCTCCATGGATTTCCGAGACTATACATCTTCATGAGCGTAGAAAACCTCATATTTCTCCCATGGAGAAACTGGTGGGTTAGAACTGCTGACTTTGTGGCTAGTGGCTCAACATATAACCCACCATGCTACCAGGGCTCCTTGTCAACTAAATAGTAACTGGTATTGTAAAGCTGCTCATAGGCACTACTAAACACACAGGTCCATATCATTTGTCATCAGTGCGTTCATTTTCTTGCTTTGATCATTGTACTGTATGGTATGTGAGATATTAACGTTAGAGGGAACGGGACCAAGACCAAGTTCGAATGACCTCACAATGTAGGACCAATCGCCCCAATTCAAAGCGCATCCATCATATCTGAAAGTTGCCAGAGATGGAGCTGTGGAAGGAGGATGCCAACATGGGCAGAAGGCTCTTTGTTAGCATTGCACATTTCTGTTCCATTTGAAAGCAGGTGGCGAGGTTGAGGTGGAACCAGGAGGGATGAGGATTAATGCCCTGTGTCCTCAGGAACTTTCATTATCAACAGCACACAAGTGAGCTCCTGAAAGCAGCAGCTATGGCTACAGTGATCCTGGAGAGCATCTTCCTGAAGCGATCCCAGCAGAAAAAGAAAACCTCACCTTTAAACTTTAAGAAGCGCCTCTTTCTCTTGACTGTCCAGAAGCTCTCCTACTATGAGTATGACTTTGAACGTGGGGTAAGTTTCTCTGTCCTGCAACCCCGAGTTTCATAGACCGCTCTTAGAGCTTCCTTGAGGAGAAGGTAGAAAGAGGGAAGTGGGATGAACCTATGTACATTCCTAGCTACTGCTAAGCTGGGACAAAACTTCAGAGTTGTTAAGAAGTCAGGGAGGGGACCTTAACCTAGAGTCTAGTGCTTGGTAATCCCTCGTTAAACTACACTCACTGGAGGATGAAATCTAAGGGTTAGAAATTGCTTCCTTAGTTCTTATGATAAACACACGCACGCTATCATGTACTTTTCTATACTATTTGTCCCCCATCAGATAGTCAAAGACAGTTAGATTGCTAGATCTGAAAGTTATGGGGTTTTTGTCTTCTCCAAAATGACAGATCCTGATATAGAGTGTGAGTATCATCCTACCTACTCTGCGGAATGATTACATAATAAAATAGAACCATCTGGTTGCTTAATCACTCAATCACTTTCCATTTTCTTCCTCATTCGTTCTCAGAGAAGAGGCAGTAAGAAGGGTTCAATAGATGTTGAGAAGATCACCTGCGTTGAAACAGTGGTTCCTGAAAAAAACCCTCCCCCTGAAAGACAGATTCCGGTAAGAAACCATTGAGAAAGAGAAAGGGTGCAGAGCTGGAGAGAGATTGGCTTTGGAAATTTGCAACATGTGACTCCTGTCAACCAGCCAGTTCAATGGAGGGCACAATAGAACACCCTTGGGACCTGCTTCACTCTCTAGTCTACCACGCACTGCTTTTACTGAGTCTCAGTATCTTGCCACCAGAGGTTGAGCATGGCACTTAATCAGAAAACCTTATAACACCAACTTTCAAATGATGACAAACGAAGTTTTCCAACTGATCTGAGATGGTTAGTGTTACTCCCTCAGTTACCAGGAGAAAATGTAGGGCTCGAGTGGTCTGAATGCCGCAATTCTAAGGAATTGAGACTAGGAGAGTCTTTGATGATCTCACTGTTCATTCTCCTCTTGTTTCCGTTGAGCTTCTCAAAGGCACAGTATCCCTGACCTTTGAGTTGATTTAAAAACAAAACAAAACATTTATTATTTTTCCTCCATTACAAGAATGCTCTTGTTGTTCCTGGGTGCCATTTGAGTCTATTCTGACACATAACAATCCCATGTGACACCGTAACACTACCCCATGGGGTTGTCTAGGCTGTGTTCTTTGGGGGAGCAGATTGTCAGATCTCTCTTCAGAGAAACAATTGGGCAGATTTGAACTTTCAACCTTTCAATTAGCAGCTGAGCACTCCACCATTGTGCCACCAAGACTCCTGGACTCCAAGAGTAATACTTACTGTAGAAAGTCTAGAAGATGTTTTAAAAACAGGAAAGAAAGTGAAAAAGCATTCACAATCCCACCACTCAGCTAACACAACTAGTAACATTTCGGTGTCTAGACTGACAGATGCTTTCCTCTACTAATAAATGCACAGACTCAATTCATACATACGCCAACACTCATGCTTACAGATATGGTCTATGTTTCAAACTTCGAATCATGCTCCAGAGCTTGCTTTGTAACCTAATTTGTCAGTTTAACACCATATAGTAAACTTTTCCCCCATGACAATACTGCTTAATAACCCAATGTTAATGACTATATAGGTTCCTTTTGATGGATGTATTATAATTTATTTCCCCACTCTCCTACTACTTACACATCGAGGCTGTTTCCAATTAGTAGACATTATAAACTACGTTGAGAGGAACATCCTGTGTAGTGTTCATATTCTTTTCCTCATAATAAATTCCTAGAAATGGAATTTTGCTCTCCTTATGGATTCTGTGCACCTTCAATATTATTATTACTTGAGCATTTGATTGTGGTGTGCATGAAGGCTTCCAGAGCAAATTGGTTTCCCAGTTACCAATGCATATGCATTCTGTTTTGTGACAGTACTTGCAATCCCCTCAGCGGTACTCTCTCACTCCCACTGTGGGTGGCCTGTTTCCATTTACCACATCTTTCCTCCATTCTGAGCTTGGGTTTTGAGCAAATGCTGCCCATTTGGTGTCATATGGTTGATAGTTGTGAGAAGCATGTTTATCAGCAGTGTTACCATTCACTCTATCGCTCTGTCTATTGTTTGGCTGAGAGGTGACCTCCAGGAGTGGGTTTGGTTCCAGGTTTGAAGGGCGTCTTAAGGCCATCGTCTCAGAGGTTCCACATGTCTGTCAGACCAGTAACTCCAGTCCTTTTTATGGTTTTATCTTTTGTTCTAAATTTTCCTATTCTGACCAGGTCAGTCGATTGCCTTGCCTATCAGAGTGGTTGGTAGTAGTCTCAGGCTAGTGGAGGCTGTGGTTCCTGTGGCCAGCTAGTACACCCTGGCTAGTTTTATCTTTTTATTCTATTTCATTTTCTAGAAGGATAATTTGAATTTCTTATACTTCTATTAGCTTTTTGTATGTTAGTATCTAGTTCTCCATATTCTTTCCAATATTTGATGTTATAATTGATCTTCAATATTAGTTATTTTGACAGCCAATAAAATGGTGTTTCATTGCCAACCAATTGTATTTTTAAGAATTACTAGTAAGGTTGAAAATTTGTTTATCTACTGATCATTTATGTTTTTAACTTGTAATTTGCCTTCTAATTTTTTACCTATTTTTCTTTGAGAAGGTTGCCTTATTCCTAGTCATCTAAGAGGTTCTGCTATATCAACAATTCAATTCTTTAACTGTAATGTATGTTCAAAGTATTTTTTAAGATTTTCACTTATCTTTGGACTCTGTAAGGTTTCTAGCTATACTGGGGTTTTGAATGTATGTGTCATCAAATTAGTTCATCTTTTTTCTTAATAATTCTAACCTTTAGCATTATATAAAGATTGTATAGACACCTATTTTGATGTTATTCATAGTTTCATTTTTTTAATAGTAAGCTCTTTATTATTTATTTGTTTGTTTTATAGTAAGCTCTTGAATCCATCTGGAATTTACTTTGGCACATGATGTGAGCCTTGGTGACACAGTGGTTACACATTGGGCTATTAATCAAAAGGTCAGCAGTTCGAAACCACTACTCACTTGGTAGGAGGAAGATGAGGCTTTCTGCCCCCCAAAAGATATATAGCCTAAGAAACTAAAAAGAGCAATTCTACTCTGTCCTATATGATCCCTATGAGTTGGCAATGGAGAGAAATAGCTACCTAATCCTTCCCACCCACCCTGACAAATGTGGTGGTTAATGATTTCCTAGGGAGGCCTTCTATTGCCTTTGCAAAGGACTCGCAGTTCCAGAGGAAATCCCCCAAATGTTCCTTAAACAACCAGTAGCCATGCTAGCTGTGTTTTTTTTCTTCCATTACAGAGAAGGGGCGAAGAGTCCAGTGAAATGGAACAGATTTCAATCATTGAAAGGTTCCCTTACCCTTTCCAGGTGAGTCATTTACTCCCACCACCTCTCCAAGGGAACCTGTAAGGTAATTATTAAAGATGTTATATAGAGCAGAGAGAAGGTTACTGGGTCCTAGTAAACAGAGATTAGGTGAATTGGGAAACTGGACTGAGAAATGAGATTGGGATGAGCTGAGAATGTGTGCTTTTCTTTCTTCCTTTCTCCCTCCCTCCCCCTTACCTTCCTTCCTTCCCTCCTTCCTTTTCTTTCCTTTTCCCTAAACCTAATATAGCGTGTCATTTAGTGCCCACACTTCAAAAAATATTCTTAATAACTTTAATACTAGCACTTTATGTCTTTGCTATGGTATCTGCATTGAGAAAGATGCTCCGTTCGTTGAGTGAGCATTTCACTTCCTTCTGGTTCTGCCTATCTGTCTAATGGTGGTTATGTGGGCTGAAAAGGCAGAACAGGGGAGGGAAGGAGTGATACTAGGAAGTTTGGTACGGGGAAAGTGTATTCGACTTACACATGAGCCTAAATTCTAGTCTAGTCTGGATTGACTGAAAAGTCACTTTGGTATCAGCTTGGTAGATGCAGTGTAAGCCCTAAAGAAGAACAAGAGCTTAACATTTAATCTTCAATTAGGCTTGATTATGTCCTGAGCAACTCGATGGTTGTGGGAGTATGTCCTGAGCACTCTGTAGCCCACGTGTCATTAACAAGCAGCCTTTGCAACAGCGAAAGCCAGAAAAGGAAGTGGAAAGTCTCAGGGGAGGGGGCTTTCTGTCATGGATTTATGAGCACAGCATGACTAACAAGCAAAAAGAAAAATCTAAAAGGATCTTGTTAATGTCCCTGACTGCCTGACAGTTTGCAAAGCCTGTGAAGGAGGAATGCTTTAGACATGATTGGTCCGCCATTGTCTTTCAACAGATTATATTTAACTGGACCAGTGGATAATGCTAAACAGCAGATAATCCAACATTAATGTATATTTTATAATACGAAATTGTATCAAACCAAAATTAATGTATATTTTAGAATCCACTGTATGATATCTATGAATTCTGTAAGGTTTGGAACAATATCTTATGTATTTTTCATATACCTCCACAGCACCTAGCATGATATATATGGTAGGTGTTCAGAATATACTGACTGCTAGGTTGATTTGATGAGAATGCTTAATATACTTGATCCTTTTTGCAGTAAATTCGTGGTTCCAAGCTTAGGTTATTTCAGCTAATGCTGGTGATGGGAAGACACTACGCAAAATGGAGGAAAATTAGCCACAAATTAAAAATTAGCTCCATATTTTCCATGACTAATCTATATATAGTAAATCTGGCTTGTTTTGAATACATATGTAAATTCTCAAAACTTAAGTTATATAGATTCTTCAATTCTCTTCATTGGCAACTCAGTTTAATCATAACATAAATGTCCTTTGCTGAAGAAACAAAAATCTTGTCTCTATCAAGGGCCGAAAGCAGCATTGTCAAGTTTGTGCCCTTAGGAAGAGGACCCAGGAGCAGGCCTCCAAAAAGTGAAGAGGCTCTAAGCCCTAGATCCCTGCATGTGAATTGTTCCAGATTTCTTCTGATAGTTCATGTGACCCCAGCTTTGCTGCTGCCTTTCATCGTTTCCCATGATGAGTCCACAATATTGTAGCTTTGTAGTTCTTTCAAAGTCTTTCTTCTTTCACTTGAAACCTAACTGCTGAAGTCGGTGTGTCCATTGCCCCAGGTCGTTTATGATGAAGGACCTCTCTATGTCTTCTCCCCAACTGAAGACCTGAGGAAGCGTTGGATTCACCAGCTCAAAAATGGTGAGAAGTATTTGGGATATAAAGTAGTTTCCAAACAAAGAGGGAAGGAAGGAAGGACATCAAATGAAAGGAAGAAAAGCCAGAGAAAGGAATAGAGGACAGAAGATGGGGGAACGGGAGAGAGCGAAGAAAGAATGAGAAGGGAAGGAGAAAAGGGAGAGAAAGAGAAGTGGTAAGGAGGGGCATTTTGCCTAGATACTAATAATTCAGTTGGTAAGTATTTCACTATATAAAGGTCAGGCACTAGATTAAGAGTTATGATCCAGTTTTGCCACTCTCTCCCTAGTACAATTTTATTATTGTAGGCATTGCCATATCCCCACATAGAAAAAAACCCCTATTCTTCACACCGGTTGTAAAGGTATTGGTTAAGCAATCGATAGAATCCTAAGTATGAAATATCTTATTTTAAAAAGTTAAATAGATGACTCATGGAGTGCTTAAAGTCAGAGTCCGAGAACCTGGTTTCAAGTCCTCTTCTACCACTTACAAGCTGGGTAACTGCTGTCAAGTAAGACAACAAGCTTCTTTGAGACTGTTTCTTATTCTGAAAGAGGGGAATGATCATGTTGGCAGCACAATGGCTCAGTGCTTGGCTGCTAACAGAAAGGTTCCTGACACAAGCCCACTAAATGCTCTGTGGGAGAAATGACCTGACAATGTTTTCCTGTAAAGATTACTTACTGCCCAGGAAACTCAATGGGGCAGCTCTTCTGTGTCAAATCGGGTTGCTATGGGCTGGAATTGACTTGACAGCACAAAACAATCACAAAAACAGCCCTACTCCAGGGTCAGATTAAGTAAAGTGTGTAGAAAACTGTAATGTACTGTATGAGACAGCTCTGTACATCTCTCCGTTTGGGCTAAATATTCCCCAAGGAACTAGTTCAGGTTCCTAGCTTTTGGAAGACCTGAATTTGAACACAGTTGCAGCATTTACCACAGCCCATACAGTGTGTGTTCAGATAAACATGACTGTGAATGCTTGCAACACAGGATGCATGCACACATATTTGTGTGTATATATAGCCACATGTCAAGTGACTGAGAGATTAACTGGTTGAGTTGACATCAGGAAAGGCTGCCTAGAGAAACAGGAAGGATGGCAGACTGATAACACCATGGTTGGGTTATTGCATGACAGCCCTTTGTCTTAATAAACATTTCGATTCTGGTACTCCGTGGCTGGCTATAGCAGCTTTGTTCACTCCCTTGAATGACAGTCTAACAGAGTTGAAATATGAATCACCAAGTCTTTCTAACGGAAAGTGAGGCAAAAAAGAGAGAAGGGTCATTTCCTGAATTCTAACGGTGTGCCAGACTCTGAGCTAGGTACGTTATATTTATTAGCTTATTTAATTCTAACAGTAACTTCAGGGTAAAGGGAATAATAATTATGATGAATGCTTCATGAGCACTTAAAGAGCACTTGGGACATTGTCTGGTAAGCGTTGGACTATTAAGTGGAAGGTTGGCAGTTCAGAACCCACCAAAAAGACAAGTCTCAAAAACCCTACACAGGGTCGCTATAAATAGGACTCAACTCAATAGAGTGGGTTTGATTGTTGCTGTGGTTATTTTTAATGAGCATTACTCTGTGCCAGGCTCTATGCTAAGTGCGTCAAATGTATTAGTTAACTTATATTCCTCATGCTAACCTTATAAGGTAGGTATCATTGCCCTCTGTACAGATGAGGGACCCAGGGCTCAAAGAGGTTAAGGGCACATGGGTAGCGAGTGGTGGAGTCCAGATTCTTACCACATTCCTGTGTTGTCTGTATGACTCCAAAGCCCAATCACATTGCAGTTTTATGCTGCTTGGTTACCAAATCCAGAAATTCCATCTGTGGGTGGTTGCAAAATCATTTGAAGTAAGTATCACAAACAGGTGATAGATTGAACCACACAGTTCTTGGAGGTGTTTTGAGAGAAGAGACTGGAATGCAAATGAGCAAAATAGCCTTGAGGCTATTTACAAAAGAAGTAAGCATTTCAATAGTGTTTAATAGGAGAGGTCCTGGCGGTGCAGTGGATCAAGTATTGGGCTTACCATCAGCTCTGCAGGACAAAGATGATGCTATTGGCTCCTGTAGGATTGACAGCCTCTGAAACCCTAAATAGGGCCATTATGAGTTGGAATCAATCTAATAGCAGTGGCTTGTCATTACAATTAGGTTATTTTCCAAGTTCTTTTTTTGTTACTTTCTTAACATTTTGTTGTTGAGAATATACATAGCAAAGCATACACCAGTTCACCAATATCTACATGTACAATTCAGTGATGTAGATTACATAATTTGATCTGTGCAATCATTCTAACCTCCTTTCCATCCTAAATTCTTTGAATATATTATGTCATTTTTTCTGCATAACAACCCTTTTAGGCAGGTAATCTCATCATCCCCATTTAACAGATGAAAAAACGGAGGCACAGAGAGGTGCAGGTGTTTTCCCCAAGAGCACAACAGGAAGTGTCAGGGTCAGACTTTGAACTCAGGCTTCGGCGTCCATGCTCTTAATCACTGTGGTATTTCCAAGCCAGGGAAGTACTGGGGGGGGGGGGACACAAGCTTCAAAGAGGGTGGAAAATAAAGCTTCAAAGGGGCAAAACTATTTGTACTTCTTTGGTTGTCTTTATGGTGTCTTGTACATAAATAAGGGTCAATCAATAGTTGTGTTGATTGGTTTTTCTGAGGGATTAAACAACCTCCACCAACTTGAGATCCACATTGATAAACCATTAGGACTTGGTTTTGAAATAGGGGGAATTAAGGATACTGTCTTAGTTATTTGGTGCGGCTATCATAGAGCTACTACAAGTGGATGATTTTAATAAGCAGAAATTTATTCTCTCACACTTTCAGGGGCTAGGACTTCAAATTCAGGGCACCTGCCCCAGGGGAAGGCTTTCTCTCTGTTGGCTCTGGGAGATGGTAGTTGTCTCCTTTCAGCCTCTGTGGGCCCAGTGTCTTTTGGAGATCTCCATGTATCTTAGAGCCAATCCTCTGGGTCTAAAAGGTTCTCAGCATAAGGAACCCAGGTCCAAAGGACATGGTCTACTCACAGCTCTTCTTTCTCAGTGGTAGTGAGGTCCTTCTCTCTCTGCCTCTTTAAAAAAAAATCATTGTATTAGGGGGCTCATACAACTCTTATCACAATCCATCCAACCGTCCATTGTGTCAAGCACATTTGTACATTTGTTGGTGAGGCCCCTCTCTTATCTTCTCACTTCTCTCTCCTTTTATTGTCTTGCAAGAAAAAAGATGTGACTCAAGCAAGAGTGTGACTTACTTGTAATTCTGTGACTCAAGATGTACCCCACACTGATCCAACCTCATTCACATATAGAAGATCGGACTTACAACTCCATACTGTGTAGATACTACAATATGGAGGATAATTACATCTGATCACAAAATTGGAAAACAACAACACAATACTGAAAATCATGGCCTAGTTAAGTTCACACATATTTTGAGGGGACACAATTCAATCCTAAATGAGGGAGTGACAAGGGGAAATAAAGTATAGCATGTTCAAGTTAGTAGTTCTTTTACATTTCAAATATTAATTTCAAAGCCAGTTATACTTTAATCCAACAAATATTTATTGGGTGCTCACTATCTTCAAGGCATGAGTAATATCCAATGATAAGAATATCCAGAATATAAACTTGGTTTATTAGTCAGATCATAATCTTAGTGTTTTGATTATGCACTATTAAAGTTCTTTGAATAAATAAAATTACAATAGGCTACAAATAAAAATCAAACAAACATAACACTCCCATCATTTCAGTTGGGTAGTGTGGCCTCATGTGGTTTTGCCTGCCTTCTTTTCCCTGGCATTTTACTATAGGCATTTTTTTAATTCCCAGTTGTTCCAGACCTGTGTATATCTTGTTGAACCTGCCTGATACTATGAGATAGAAATTAGGCACTTAACAATAAATACTATGGTTTCTGGAAGATTTAGGTACAAGTCACTGACCATCCCAATTTAACCCAAGTGTTATCAATGCCAATGGTGAGATGCCCTAGAATTCATCAAATCCCACTCTACTGATAGATTATCTCTCTCCTGGGTGAAATACACCACAACACTGATTACTTCAGTAGGTGTCTTGATTTTGAAGAGGTATGAGAAGATCTACTGAGGTGCTGGGTCCGAGTGATGATGGTTGAACAGTTGTAGACGAATGTTACCAGCTGTGCACCTTAGATCTGTGTGTTTCACCACATGTTAAGTTATACTTCAATTAGCAAAATTGGACCTCATATCTACCCGTCATCCTTTTTCCCCCAATAGTACTTTGCATGCATAGATTGTGTCCTTGAAATTTAGCCATGCCCCTCTCCTTCCATTTTCTTGAAGGTGGCAGTGGACATTTTCCTGTCACAGCCCCACTGATATCCCTCCTCACTCACTCTTGAATCTTTGTTTGGTCAGGGCTGATAGAGCCTATTGTTCAGAGAACTTCAAGAGCAAACAAATGACCCAATCTCACCAAACAGAAGGAAAGGATAGCCTTAGTGAAATGCCAAAGACTAGCATAAGGAAGAACGATTCATTCTTATCTGAAACAGAATTATAGTTATACTGATAAATGTGGGTATGAGACTGACCTATCAAACACATAGAGCATGTGCAGCAAACATCAGTGCTCCTTAAACAAGGTTGGCTCTGGATGCATTAGTGAAACAATAATCTGCCTTAGTCCTCCCACTAGGACACCCAGTTTTGGCAATCCTACCCTAAATAGCTGGATTTGCCAAAAAAAGAAGAGATGTTCTCTCCAAGGAAACTCTTAAGAAGCAAGCATTATTTGGGAATGTAGGGAGGATTTTTAATGAGAATGTTGGCGCTTAGGATGGAAGAGAAAGGGAGAAGGCTCTATATTCCCTCATTAGCATATCAACCAGATTTAATTTATCACTATTTATCAATGTAGCATAATTTATGGACAGTTAATTGTCATGGAGTGTTCCTTAGAGGCAAGGATGGAGAGACTTCATCTCATATATATTGGGCATATTGTCAGGAGAGACCAGTCCCTGGAGAAGGACATCATGCTTGGTTAAGTAGCAGGGAAACAAAAAAGAGGAAGACCTTCAATAAGATGGATTGTCCCAGTGGTTGCAACAATGGGTTCAAGAGTAAGAACAATTGTGAGGATGGTGCAGGACCAGGCAGTGTTTGTGTTTCATTCTGGTGTACAAAGGGTTGCTGTGAGTTGCAAACGACTCAATGGCAACTAACAACAACAAGTTGTCAAGGAGATATTCTAGTTGTCTGCTAGTGTCCAGTCTTACAGAAGGCATAGAGGATCTGAGGGTCTTCATATCTCTGGGTGAAGGGTGGTGGCATGGGATGGGGAGAGGGAAGAGAGGCTGTGAGAGGAATCAACAATCAACCCTAGTAGGGAGCTATACTTTATCACTGATGTTGTTCAGTCTTGCCAGAATATGGTAAAAATAAAAGGCAGATGGACTCTCAGTCAGTTTTAATTTTGCTTTTCAATTCTCTACAGATCATGCAGCCCCTTATTGTCTGCACCCCATCCAAACAGCTCCAAGCACCCACCATTAGTACAATGGTGAAGAAAAAGGCAAGCAACTAAAAAAAAAAGCAAAACAAAAACAGTTGACATCGAGTTGATTCTGAATCATACCATCATGGGTACAGAATAGAACTGTGCTCCACAGGGTTTTCAAGGCTGACCTTTGGGAAGTAGATTGCCAGGTCTTTCTTCTGAGGCATCTCTGGATGGGTTCAAACTACCAACCTTTGCACAACTAGTTGAGCGTTTAACTATTTGCACCATCCATTAAACATTTGCACTCCCTTGAAGGGGCAGAAGAATGCTTAAAAGTGAGGTCAAGAGTGGGCGGGAAAGAATCGCTAGAAATCTCTAATCCATATTTAGAAAAGCATCAAGATAGCACTTTAAAATAAATAAATATAAAAGCATTTCTGTTCATTTACCTGTAAAAACCACCAGAAGCTTTTGGCTTCTTCGAAATCCTTACGTGAGTAAAATTTAACTAGCATGCTCTTAAGCACTTCAATTGGTCTCAGAAGAAAGGTTTTTGGTGTTTTTTATTTTTATTTTGGGGATTCAGGACTTTTTTTCTTAGAATTAAATGCTAAAGTGTATAGCTATTACTTAACCTATAAATATATGCACATAGACCTATATCCCTATCATTATATGTTACTATATTTACATATATACATGCCCATGTTTATACCTCTATAAATGTCTTTAAACTTTCCTCCTGTCCCACTATCATGTTCGACCTTCATTCAGCTCTCTACTTCCTCTTGGCTACATTGCATTTGATCGAACCCCTCACCATCAATTTTAGATCTCTTGTTGTTTCCTTGTCCCTGGGTTTGTTGGCTCCCCTCCCTTCCTTTCCCCCACCTCATCCTCTCCCCTGTTCCCCTGGAAACATTGGTCCTGTTGTTATCTCTTTGGGATTGTTTATCCTTCATATCTTATATAGACATGAAAAAAAATATCCTGGAACTATTCATAGCCTATTTTTTTTGTTCTAATTTTTAGTATTTCCTGTTTCTTTCTCAATTGAGGTTTTTCCCCTTCTGTTTTATCTTGATATTGGTGTTGGTCTTCTCTTTCTTTAAAAAAATACATTTGCAGGCTGTGTTGTGTTATGTTCTCCAATATATGGAATCCAGGATAGGCAAATCTATAGCCACAGTAATGTATGAATGGCTTACTGGGGAGATGAGAGGGGAGGTTGGAGGGAGATGGGGAGCTAATAAGGAAAACAAGAAGGAAGAAAATGCTGTAGAACTGATTTTGGTGATGTTTATACAACTCTTAATATAACTGAACTATGGAAGTATATGACAAACGAATTATATCTTTCTAAAAAAGAAAATGGCCATCATCACGAACACCGACCCTTCCGATAGGAAGCTTGTAATGGCTACTGGGAAAACATGCTGGTAAGGGACAGTGAGTGAATTCCAACCCTAGTCTGACCTTAATACGACAGAACAAAACAGTGTCCAGTCCTTTGTCATCCTCACAATGGTTGCTATGCTTGAACTCACTGCTGCAGCCACTGTGTCCATCCATCGTTTCGAGAGTATGCATCTTTCTTGCTGCCCTTCTATTTTACCAAGTAAGATGTTCTTTTCTAGGGACTGATCACATATCCAAAGTCTGTGAAATGAAGTCTAGCTATGCTTGCTCCCAAGGAACATTCTGGATGTACTTCTTCCAAGACAGATTTGTTGGCTTTTTTGGCAGTTCAAGGTCCTTTCAATATTAGTCACCAGCACCATAACTCAAACACTTTGGTTTTCTTTATTCCACATCTAACACTCACATGCATCTGAGGCAATGGAAAATACCAGGGCTGGGGTCAGGCACACCTTAGTCCTCAAAGTGACATCCTTGCATTTCAAAAACGTTAAAGAGGTCTTGTGCAGCATATTTGCTCAATAGATAACATTTTTGTTCTTGGGCTCTGAAGACATCAGATATTCTTATCTTGCTGGTCAGGAGACAGTCGTCACGACAGACCACTAGAGAAAAAGTCACTGGAACTCTGCAGGGCTGGGGCACATGTCCGATAGGCTAGTCATGTGAGCTAGTCTGTCCTGTTGTCTTCTTTCCTTCAGGGTAGATGGGCCAGGGGCAGTTGCTTGAAAGTCACCACTAAGCCCAATCAAAGAGAAAGGCATGTAAATGATGGTTTCTCCCTGGTGTCAGATGTGATCTCTCCCTCTTCTCTCCTGCAACAGTAATCCGGTACAACAATGATCTGGTACAGAAATACCACCCTTGCTTCTGGATTGATGGGCAGTATCTTTGCTGCTCTCAAACAGCCAAAAACGCCATGGGATGCCAAATTTTGGAGAACAGGAATGGAAGTAAGAGATCTCATTAGTATAATTTCTTCCTCCTCTTATCCAATTTCCATCACTCTTCAAGGGCCTAACCCAACTTGCCAAACCCATGTACCCTGCACATGGGTTTATGGTTTGGACCTTGGCACAGGATTGTAACTGACCAGCCAGCCATATCTGACCCTAAGCGCTTTCCTGAAATACAGCCCACTTCGTCATTAGCTTCTTATTTTTCAGGCTTAAAATCTGGGAGCTCCCACCGGAAGACGAAAAAACCCCTGCCTCCCACTCCTGAGGAAGACCAGGTATGTGGGGGAAAATTAGATGCTGCTATAGGATTGCTAAGGAGCCCTGGTAGTATAGTGGAGTAAGCGTGGGAGTGCTAACCTCAGGTCTGTGGTGCGTTGAACTGCTTCTCTTTGGTCAAGTATGTGCTATAAGCTGGTATTGATGATTTCAAGGGCCTTATATAGCCAAAAGGAGCCCTGGTGGTGTAGTGATTACCTGTTGGGCTGCTAACCATGAGTCAAACGTTCAAAACTGCCAGCCATTCCATGGGAGAAAGATGAGACTTTCAACTCCTATAAAGAGTTACAATGTCAGAAGCCCACAGGGGCAGTTCTACCCTGCCTATTGGGTCACTATTGTGTTGGGTATATAGCCCTAGGGCTGGACATTCCCCAGCCCTGGTTTAAATGGAAATTTGCAGTCAGACCCTGGAAATACACCAGTCTTAGAATTCCCTGGAGCCTTGCTAATGAGCGGATTCGCCCTGCTCATTAGAGTTTCCTTTTCTCTGGAAATGTGGGATGTTATTAGGACATTTTTGGCAACACTTTAATTCAATCACTTGTTTGGAACACTGTCCCCAAATCTCATTTTATTATTTAAAAATTGAAGCATACACACAGTAAAGCTGACAGAATTCAACAGTGAACAACACCTAGAACCTACCACTAACCTTTTACTCTAAAATCTGATATTTGGGTACCTTTGTAAGGTGTAAACAGGCCATTAGCCTATATTGTAAGCAGGCAAATATGGGTATTATTACACTCATTTTATAAATATGGAAACAGAAGTTCCAAAAACACTCACTAGATCTACTTTCTAATTAAGTATCAGACAAGTTTCTTAACCTTGGTTCTACATGGTATTTACCTAGAAAGTCCCAACAATATTGGTGCTTGGGTCCTTCTCCTAGAGATATGGATGTAAGTGGACTGGGAAACTGCCTGAGCATTGGGTTTTGAAAGGCTCCTGACATGATTCCATTTGGGATACTGATAGTTCAGTGGTAGAATACTCATCTTCCATGTTGGAGACTCGGGTGTGAGTCCTGGCCAATGAGCCACCTCTGTCAGTGGAAGCTTGTGTATTGCTGTGATGCTGAGCAGGTTTCAGCAGAGCTTCCAGACTAAGATGGACTGGGAAGAAAGGCTTGGAGATCTACTTCCAGAATTCAGGCAATGAAAACCATATGGATCACAACGACCTGATCCAGTTGTACATGGGGTCCCAATGAGTTGGGGGCTGACTTTATGACAGCTAGTGAAAACAGGTGATTCTAATATGCACGACCCAGGCTGCGATGCTTCACAGTGGTGTTTGAAAAGTGGTTGTTTAATGAAAGCAAAATATACCTTTCAATATGCTTTAAAATAAGAAGGGCTGAGGGCTAGATAACCACAATATTGGCAGGTCAAACCCTGGAGAAAGATGAGGCTGCCTGTTTCTATAACGACTGGCAGTCCCAGAAATCCTATACAGGGTCACTCTGAGTCAGAATTGATTAGATGGCAGTGAGTTTGGTTGTGGGGGTTTGGGCTTACAATGGTGTCTCCGATAAGCCAGAGAATTGGAGGAGACAATGAGAATGCTTTATATCTGATCAAATCCCTGTACTTTTTCTCTTAACTGGCATTAGGACCTAACTATGCAGTTCTTGAAAAAGCCACTACCTCCTGAGCCAAGAGCAGCCCCTGTTTCCACAAATGAGCTGAAAAAAGTTGTAGCCCTTTATGACTATATGCCAATGAATGCAAATGACCTACAGCTGCGAAAGGGTGACGAGTACTTTATCTTAGAAGAGAGTAACTTACCCTGGTGGAGAGCACGGGATAAAAATGGGTAAGTTCATGTCCACCATTCTTCTTTATTTTTTTAAACAATTTCACTGGTATATCATTCACTTATCAATGATTCAATAGTTCAATCACATCAAGAACAATTGTGCAATCATCACCACAATCCGTTTTAGAATATTTTCTTGATTCTTGTACTCATCATTATTAGCTCCCCATTTCAGCCCAATCTTCCCTGCCGATCCAGTTACTGGATTTATCTATCCTGAATTTCATATACAGAAAAATATTTTAAGAGGTATTGGCCTATGTACACATATTTATATGGCAATACACTGAGGTAGGGGAAGGACTTTGGGCCTCTGCTCATACCGTCCCTCAATACAAGAACACTTTGTTCTAACAAATCGGCAGTCTGAGATGTTCACCCTCGGGACACAATTGCTGAAGACAAAACGGGTGCATAAGCAAATGTGGTAAAGAAGGTGGATGGTGCCCATCTGGGGTCTTAAAGGCATGAAGTTACACAAGCCGCCATTCAGCAGAGAAGAAACAAGTCCACATAGGAAGACGCACACAGCCAGTGCGATCATGAGGAGTCATAGGGACCAGGTAATAGGCATCAGCAAACACATAACAAACAAACAAAAACATATTGTTGAGCATGAGAGGGGCTGGAGCAAAGATTTAAAGCCCATCTGTAGACAATGGAACAATCTCCCCACAGAGGGGCCACAGGGAAGGGATGAGTCAACCAGGTGCAGTAAAGCACTGATGAAACACAATATTCCTCTGGCTCCTTGAGGCTTCCTCACCCTCCACTACCATGACCCCAGTGCTGCTTCTCAATTCAGACTAGACTGGAACATGTACACAGGTATAGATAAGACATGGGAGGTCAGGACACACAGAATTCAGGAACAGGAGTGGGAATAGTGATACCAGAAGGGTAGGGTGAAGAGGAGGAGAGTAAGGGCAAAAGGGGAAACCGATTACAATGATCGACACATAACCATAAATACACCCCTCTCCAGGGGGAAGAACAACAGAAAACATGGGGGAAGGGTGACAGCAGTTGGTGTGAGATATGACAATAAAAACAATGTACAATCTATCAAGGGGTTATGAGGGTGGTGAGAAGGAGGAGGAAAAAAGAGGAGCTGATACCAAGGGCTCAATAGAAAGTAAATGTCTAGAAAAAAATGAAGGCAACGTATGTACAAATTCACCTGATGCAAACGAAGTATGGGTTGTGACAAGAGTTGTAAGAGTCCCCAATAAAATGATATTTTAATAATAAAAAAACTAACAACATTAATAAAGTAAGAAAAGATAACCTCAATTGGAAAGAAGGCAGAAAACATTAAAAACTAGAACAAATTTTAAATGGATCAGAAGAGAGATCAAATGATAAGGTGCTAAAGTTTAACCTAACTGCATCAGCAATAATCCACTTTACGAAAAAAAAATTAAAAAATAATCCACTTTCCAATACATTCTGCTTGATAGCAAGACTATTCACATCTTTAGTCTATGGTCAGAGGGGATTCACTAGAGCAATGGCTCTCAACCTTCCTAATGCTGTGACTCTTTAATACAGTTCCTCATGTTGTGGTGACCCCCCCAACCATAAAATGATTTTTGTTGCTACTTCATAACTGTAATTTTGCTACTGTTATGAAGAGAGAAAGGGTCATTCGACCCCCAAAGGGGTCCCGACCCACAGGTTGAGAACCGCTGCACTAGAGACTTAATCCACATGTATTTCCCTTCACTTTTTATTAACGCTAAAACAATTTTAAAATAGGTCAAAAGGGAGACCAAATGAAAAGATAATACATTTTAACCTAAGTCTGTTCTAATAGATTTTATCATGCTCTCTGTCTGATAACAAAGGTATCTTGCCTCCCTCAACTATGATCAAAGGGATTCACCTAAGGCTTAATCCATGTGTGGACCTGTCAGCTCTTCTTCAGCCCTGTGTCCACTCACTCCACTTCCTTACAAATTCCTGACACATAACTCCCCTCTTCAGTTTCCTAACAACTCAATCCAAAGTGACTGTGCTCTCAGTTCAAGTACTTCTGAGTGTGTAGCGCTTTCCTTGGTTCCTACCACCACTCTGAGCCTGTAGAGCATGCCACAGGTGGTGTTGTGCACAGAGAAATTAATGCCACATGTGTGAAAGCCACCCATTTAGGTGGCCTGAGAATGCTTCAGAGACATGATCCTCTTTGAGAGAGAAGCACCCTATAAATACTACACTTCCATTTAAGATTGATTCAGAGTTCGAGGATACGGATATATGAATCTATTTCTCTCCAGAGGTGGGGAGATGTTAAGGTGGTCTACCACATTGTCTCTGTTACAGAGAGGAAGGCTATATCCCCAGTAACTACGTCACTGAAGCAGAAGACTCCATAGAAATGTATGAGTAAGTATGCTTATGTTCTCAGCACACAATCTTTCCTGAGAAACAAAATAGGGCCTTTATCTTTTTCATAATTTCCCCATGATTTTACGTTTTAGGATACAGGTTTCCCGCACTGTCTGAAAGTCCACCTTGTTCCTGCAACCTTTTATAAGCTGAAATGTCCTGTAGTGAAGGAGCAATGACCATCAACTAATCTGAGAACAAAACTTGAGCCTTCCCAAATAACCTACCAAATAGCACAGAAAACCTAAAACTACATTAATGTACTACGTGTTCACAGATACAATTCAAAGCAATGGCCTTTTGCCGCTGAGACGCTGAGTGTCGTTCTGGGGGTAGGCGCTTGGGGCCTCAGTCTCGCAACTGTGGATGAGCACTGCCTCTCTAAAGGACTTCCAGCAAAACAAATGCTGAAGGCTAGTTTAGCTTTTTGTCGGGTTTTTTTAGTAAAAGCAAAAATCCTCTTTGCTTTTTTCGGGTAGTAAAAACAGGTACAAATGTAGATCGTGGGCATGGTGCTTGGTAAAGTAGAGGGGCAATGGAAAAGAGGAAGGCCTTCAGGAGATGGATGGACAGTGTCTGCGAGACTGGGCTCAAGCATAAGCGTAGGAACTAGTGTGGGGAAGGTGCCGGAGGGGCTGTGTTTCTTTTTGTTGTGCTATGGGTCAGAACCGACTGGAGGGCAGCTAACAACAGCAGCAATGTAGGTCTTTTAAAGATGCTGCGTGGTGGGGAATGAACTGGCAAGAATTGGGGGTGCATGCACCTATTGAAATCAGACTTAAAAAAAATTAGTGCCAATTGGATCAAAGGGTGCTCCCACCACAAGTTACTCTCGGTCTCTTATCTTCACCCCCCAAACCCTCTCTTTCTGAGAGCTGGTGAGGTCACCATCCCAACCCTCAGATCCAGAGGAACCAAAGTTCAGGGCCTGATAGAAAGCACTTCAGAGGGTAAAAATCTCAACTTGTACCGTTGTCCTTTTCTAGATAACCATGGAAGAGAACTGGCCTTGAGGGTCTGTTCCTTTCATCCTCCACTGTCCCTTCTATGAACATTTAGCGCCACCTGGGGTTGGGAAGTGCATATGATCCCAGCCCACTGCTTTTGAGTTGCTTCCACCTCATAGTGACCCTACAGGGCAGAGTAGAACGGCCTCAGAGGGTTTCAAGGCATCAAATCTTTTTTTTTAAGAAAACATTTATTAAGTTTTAAACAGTACAAGGCCAAGACAACTACAGGGATATCTCATCTGGATGAGGGAGACCATTCGCATGAGGTCATAACGGGGTCCAAGGTTGTGCTGAGATATAGAGCTTTAAAAAGGCTATGAGAGGTCAAAGAAAAACGTCACAACATGGTTGGTGGAGTTACTGGTGGGACTCCCAGAGCGGCATTGAGGTCACGATTGGTACACATACATTATGTTAGATAGGAGGTTACAATATTGGTGCAGGGGGACATCTCAAATCTTTACAGAAGCAGGTTGTTACAACTTTCTCCCATGGAGCAGTTGGTGAGCTCTAACCAACACACTTTAGATTAGCAGTCCCAAGTGTTTAACCACTGAGCCACCAGGGCTCCTCCAAGCACATGACCCCAGCCCACTTCTACTGAGTCAATTCTAACTCATAGTGACCCTAGTGAACAGAGCAGAACTGCCCCTTTGGGTTTTAGAGACTACATATCTGTAGGGGAGCAGACAGCCTTATCTTTCTCCCTGGGAATGACTGTTGGTTTCTAACTGCTGACCTTACCTTTAGCAACCCACTCCACCACTGGGTTCCTTAGGCACATGATAGGTACTCACTAAATGGGGTTTGGATACAATCATATCAATGTGAACGGGGGTGGGGGTGGGGGCGGCGAGTGGAGCCTAAGTCCATCTGTAGATAATTGGACATTCCCTCACTGAAGGGTCACAAGGAAGGCACCAGTCATCCAGGGTGCAATACAGCACTGACAAAACCCTCAACATTCCTCTAGTTCTTTGATGCTTCCTCCTCCCACTATCATGACACCAGTTCTACACTACAAAGCTGACTAGAGCAGAGCATGTACACTGGTACAGATAAGGGTTCTTGACACACGGACTCCAGGACAGATAAATCCTTCAGTAACAGTAATAGAAGTAGTGATACCATGAGGGTAGGGGGAAGGTGGGGAGACAAGGGGGAGAAAAGGAGAACCGATTGCAAGGATCTATGTATAATCCCCCACCCCCACCCTGGGGGACAAACAACAGAAACAACGTGGGTAAAGGGAGACAGCGGATGGTGTAAGATATGGAAACAATAATTTATAAATTGTCAAGGGTTCACGAGAGTGGGAGGGTTGGGGAGGGAGGGGAAAAAAGAGGAGCTGATACCAAGGGCTCAAGTCGAAAGACAATGTTTTGAAAATGATGACAACATATGTAAAAATGTGCTTGACACAATGGATGTATGGATTGTTATAAGAGCTGTAAGAATCCCCGATAAAATGATTTATAAATAAAACAATTGAGGTTTGGGTAAATGGATCGAAACCTTGTCATGGACTAGCCCTGGAGGTGGCTCTAAAGTGCTTACTCCAGGGTTTAGGAGCAATGCACACTCTTCCCCTTGGCAGGTGGTATTCCAAGCACATGACTCGGAGTCAAGCAGAGCAGCTGCTAAAGCAAGAGGTAAGTGGGGGACCACAAGTCAATATGATGGAAGACGAACAGCCTTCTCTTTGCACAGTCAGCAGGGATAAGGCACCATGCTATGGAGTCTCGACTCCATGGTTCAGTATCAAAAGCCATGAGGACCTTGGCAATACAATCAGGAGGTCGATGTCCTCTCAGGTTTGGGCAGGTGCAGTGCAGGTATGCGTCCTCCTTCCCCCTCCAGTCTGTTTCTTTTTCATTGTTTCAGGGCAAAGAAGGAGGTTTCATTGTCAGAGACTCCAGCAAAGCTGGAAAATACACTGTATCTGTGTTTGCTAAATCTACAGGGTAAGTGCTTCTGCTCCAAGGCCCTGCTGAGAAAAGCAAGGGGGTCCCCGCCCAACAGCTCAATGGTGGGCCCCTCCTCAGCCCTCTGCCCCTTCCGCTCAAAGCGAATCGCAGTTCACTTCTTGGGTCCCACTGGCTCTGGTTCCCAAGTTGCTGACCAAGCATTCACTTCCTCAGGGACCCTCAAGGGGTGATACGCCATTATGTTGTGTGCTCCACACCTCAGAGCCAGTACTACCTGGCTGAGAAGCACCTATTCAGCACCATCCCCGAGCTCATTAACTACCATCAGCATAACTCTGCAGGTGAGTCAGGGGCAACCGAAAAGAAAGATGGTACAAAAACCTAGAGAAGCCATCTGGTGAGGACATGGTGGTGAGGGGCAAGAATAAGCCTCCCAGGGCATATAAACTCTTAGAAGGCTGGCCAGAGGTCAACTCACAAAAACCATATTGCCAGTGAGTTGACCAACCCTATAGGACAGAATCGAGCTGTTCCATCAGGTTTCCAAGGCTGTCAGTCTTTATAGAAGTAGACGGCCTCAGCTTTCTCCATGGGGTGACTGGTGAATTCAAACTGCCCCCTTTTCAATTAGCAGCCCAACACTTAAAGCCCACTGTGCCACAGAGACAGAGCTGACACCCAGTAGGAACTGACTTCTTTCCCCAAACTGAGCAGTTGATTGAAATGCTCACTGCCTGAGGAAGCACCTTACTAACCAAGGGAGGTTTAAGACAAGAGAGACCAGTGGGAGATGTGAGTTCCTACTCTGTGCTCAGACATCTCCTCGGGTCTAGCCTGGCAATCGGCTTCCGAAAACTCAGCCAATGAAAACCCTATAAGGAAACAGAAAAGCAAAGAAAATCCTATGGAGAACCGCTCTACACCCGGGAAGAGACCTGCCAATAACTAGAAAAATGAGAGAGAGAGAGAGAGAGAGATGGGTTGAGTGATAGACTGATTAGCGAGCACATTGATGATGGGAAAATCCTCACTGAGAATATGATTTGAGCGAAGTCTTAGCTAGGAAGTAGGGGGATAGGTGGGAACTTTGAAAAGTTTTTTTTGGGTGGTGGTAATTCCATTCTCTTTTAATTTACATTTTTGATGTCCACCCCCTTGTATTGAATTGGGGAAGGGGATGTATTTTAATTCTCTTTTCCTCTCTTTTGGTCCACGAAAACCCTTGCGAGAGGAGAAGCTGCCCTCAAGTGTGGTTTTGTGGAGATTTTCTAGAAAAATGCACATCAGAAGGGTGAGGTTTTAAGTGAGGATATGTGAGGCATTGCCCTGTAGATTATACCAGCTGCATGACCTCTCTCTGTTTCAGGTCTCATATCCAGGCTGAAATACCCCGTGTCTCAACAAAACAAGAATGCACCTTCCACTGCAGGCCTGGGCTACGGTAACTACTTGTTTCTCTGGGATATAGGATGGGCTAGCCCAGAGGTTGGCCCACTGAGGCTTGAGGGCCATATGTGGCTCTCTCAGTATGTCCCTGTGGCTCTGAAGTCAAATGGGAAAAAATTTAAAGGCTATTATGCAGCTAATGGTGATTTAATTTGTTTGTAAAAATCTACTTATGACTCACGAATAAATTTTAAATTGTTGTGAGGGACAGGGTTGGCCCTTTCATCTCAAAAGTTTGTTCACCCCTGGGCTAGCCAGTTGCAAGGACAGTATTTGAGGAACCAAATTAGACCTTAAGTCGGTGAGTGTCCTTGCAGTGCACAACTCAGCACCAGCTACCTCAAGGAAGGTTAAAACAGTCAAGCAAGAGGAAGGGGGAACAGTGCTGTTACATTGTGAAGCTTGTAATCAATGTCATAAAACAAAATGTGTATGAGCTGTTGAGTAGAAAACCCAATTTTCTCTATAAATGCTCACCCAACTCTCTCTCACCTCTCTCTCTCTCTCTCTCTCTCTCTCTCTCTCCATGAACAAGGTAGATTTCCATACATTTAGGCTTTTCAAAATTTGTCTTGGCAATAGTTTGTACTTTTTCTTGCAGATTTTAATAGTTTGTTCCCTAAATATTTTATGTTTTAGGTGCTATTGTTAATGGTGGTGTTTTTTTAAATCATTTTTGGCTGGTGTTCGTGAAAATACACACAGCAGAGCATACTCCCATTCAACAATTTGTGCATGTGCAATTCAGTGACATTGTGTTCTTCAAGTTGTGCAACTATTATCACCCTCCTTTTCCGAATTGCTCTTCTCCCATTATCATGAACTAGTTACTCCTGAGCTTCCTGTCTAATCTCATAAAGGGACTTTTGAGGGCCTGTCTAATCTATCTTCTCGCCTCGTAAGGCAGTCCAACTGGCACCTACAATTCCCATGTCCCTCCAACTATTAACGTTCCATGTCTGAGAACTTTATTTCACTAGTTTTCTATTTCTATATCAGCAAGGATTCTTTATCTGTAGATGAATTCCATATACCATACATAACTCTCAAAGTATCATACCAAGATTTTGTTGTTATAGGATCATGGGAAATAGATCCAAAGGACCTGACATTCTTGAAGGAGCTGGGGACTGGACAGTTTGGCGTAGTGAAGTATGGGAAGTGGAGAGGCCAATATGATGTGGCCATCAAGATGATCAAAGAAGGCTCCATGTCCGAGGATGAGTTCATTGAAGAAGCCAAAGTCATGATGTGAGTTATAACTCAAAGCCAACTGTCCAACCAGTTTTGGCACCTCAAAATGACCAGGAGATCATACTGTGGTTTAAGGTGACTTCCAGTGAGAGAGATTTGGGGCCAGGGCCTGAAGTCAACCTTTCAACTATGAGTCCTAACAATAATCATTTTTCTACCTTCGATATTGGTTGAAAATAGTATTGATCATGGGTATGTACCATTTTAGTAGCACTTGAAGGTCAACTCAACTCACTACCATTTCAACCCTATAGGACAAAGTTGAACTGCTCCTGTGAATTTCTGAGCCTGTAACTGTTTACAGGAGTAGAAAGTCCCGTCTTTTTTCAGTGGTTCAGTTGGTGGTTTTGAACTACTGACCTTGCAGTGCCCAATTTGTAACCACTGCACCACCAAGACTCCTTCACCTTTGAGGGTAGACGTAGAGAGCTAGACTATGAAATCAAAGAATGATTCTAATTTAGCCGTAGTGTTCATTCAGCTCTGAACTTGTTTCCTCGTCTGTTGATGGGCTGAGATTCCTTGCTTCACTCTCACATATTGGTGTGTGGTGTTTGGAGTGGGAAAGAGAGAAGTAAACTTGCTATCTGGTGTCCACTTGGTGCTCTACTTCTAGGACAACCCTTTTTCCCCCCAACCCCTTTATGACTAATATGTAGAGTCAGAAGAGGACTGGTTGATTGCCTTCTCTATAGGAATCTCTCCCATGAGAAGCTGGTGCAGTTGTATGGCGTCTGTACCAAGCAGCGCCCTATCTTCATTATTACCGAGTACATGGCCAATGGCTGCCTCCTGAACTACCTGCGGGAGATGCGCCACCGCTTCCAGAATCAGCAGCTGCTGGAGATGTGCAAGGATGTCTGTGAAGCCATGGAGTATCTGGAGTCAAAGCAATTCCTTCACCGAGACCTGGTGGGACCTCAGGATGATTGACCTGGGACCAAGGGCTGAGGGAATCAGAGTACCAGTGGAAACTAGCCCAAGGGGAGGGCTAATGGTGCCACCATTTAGAAAAATTAAAGTTAGTTGTGCCTCTACCCCATTGGTGAGCCAGTCAAGTAACTCTAAGCCATCACTTAGGAGGCATTTCACATTAAAAACAACAGCAGCAGCAGCATATACAACTAAAGTTTCCAGTTTCTATTGCAAATTGGGACTACCATATCACACTAGGGCCAGTATTCTTACAGACCACGCAAGCAGGCACATGGAGCTGTCTGTTTTAGATAGCTCTCTCATTTCCTGCAATCAACACCCACCCCACTCCACGCTATTGCTTTACTTGACTGACCCCTAACGGTAGCAGAGTTTGTGTCCCTCTATTTGTTTCAGCCAGACCAAAGCTCAAATTGCCCCTCCTCCCATTGGCAGGAAAGCAAAACAAAGCAACCACAAAGTTCTCCTCAATCTCCCTTAATTCTCTCAGCCTTTCAGGAAAGGGATGGGTGGCATGGAATGGCTGTGTGAATGAAATCATTCTGCACAGCCTCCGAACTTATAGTGAGCAGCAAAAAATGCATCACAATGTCTTAGTGGCATCAACGGACTCCTCTTAGGTGATGAGGTGTCTAGTTGAAAGAAGCTCCCGAAGCTTCATTCCACCAATGGGCAGAAGCTTTATGCCTTTAACCTGTGGGCGAAGAACCAATTCTCACTGGTGTTTGTTGCACTGCAGGCTGCTCGGAACTGTTTGGTAAATGACCAAGGAGTGGTTAAAGTATCTGACTTTGGCCTGTCCAGGTAAGTGTGCCTTTTTCATCATTCCCTTACAAAGGCTGAGGAGATATTCTCATGCTTAATCCCTCCTGTTCCTTTCTTTCTGGTCCTTCTCAGTCTAGTGTTTTCTACCATCTTCTTTTTTCTTTTCTCCCTGTGAAGTATATAAGGTACTTCCCTCTCATCCTTTGGGTTTCTTCTGTATCTCTCTCTTCTTTCGCCCTTTCTCTCTGCCCCCTCTGTTACCTTACTCTCCCAACGCCTTATCTTGATCTGATCATCCTGTTGACTTGGGCTCCATCCCTTCTTTAATAATCTGTCTAATTCCCACTAGCAGTGGCTGAACAGACGGAAGGGAAGAAGAACAGGAAATGGAAAGGGGGATAGAGATGAGGGAGGGAGGGAGTGGCACCTCTTAGATTTTTTCCCTTTCATTCTTCCTATAACCACAATGTTGAAATGAAAGACTAAATCAGATATGGAAGAAGATCATTTACATTAGTAAAAGACACTGGTTGGTCAGCAGAGCCTTTTGAGAAACCCTGTAAGTGTGTCTTTGTGAAGCTTGAGACTGTGCCAAGAAAACTTAAGGAAGTATCAAGCTCTTCAAATCCTAACTGTAACACATCCTGAATCCCTTGCAGGTATGTTCTAGATGATGAATATACAAGCTCAGTAGGCTCCAAATTTCCAGTCCGGTGGTCTCCACCAGAAGTCCTTATGTATAGCAAATTCAGCAGCAAATCTGACATTTGGGCTTTTGGTAAGTGGATAAGATTGTACACGTCATACACCCCAAAGGAAGAGGAACCCAAAGGAAAAGGAAATTCCCACTTGGCCGCTTTCAGAAGAGAGACTGTCTTTGCTTTCATTCATCCAGTTCTCAGGAAGTACCTTCCATGGGTTGGGCATTTTGGGCATGGCTGGGGATATCCACCGTGAAGTCTTACGATCTCTGTCTTCTTAGAACTTACAATATATTGGAATAAATAAACAATTCATTCAGTATTCTATGCTTTTCTGAATGCTAATTAAATAAACAGGAGCCGTGGCACAACAGTGGTTAAGAGCTTGGCTGCTAATTGAAAGCTTGGTGGTTTGAACCCAGTTACCTTTGCTGGAGCAAGATATGGTAGTCTGCTTCTTGAAAGATTACAGTCCTGGAAACTCAATGGGGCTGTTCTACTTTGTCTGATAGAGTCGCTATGAGTTGGAATCAACTCAAGGGAACCAGCTGTGGTTAATTATATATACCAGAGACTGACAACTCCTATAAGGACAAAGACGAAGAAGATGCTGTCCCTCTCCTACCCAAAAATCCTATTGCCATCGCGTCCATTTAGACTCATAATGGCCCTATGTGTTGCCGAGTAGAATTGCTCCACAGAGTTTTCTTGGCTGTTTTTTTTTTTCTTCCACTGAAACAGATCACCAGGCTTTTCTTCTGTGGTACTACTGGGTGGATTCAAGCTGCCAACTTTTAGATTAGTAATCCAAACCAAACCCACTGTCATTGACTTCAAATCCACCAGCCACTCTGTAGGAGACACAAGAGGCAATCCACTTCTATAAAGATTTACATCTTGGAAACTGTTGAGGGCAGTGCTACCCTGTCTTAGAGGGTCAGAATGAGTTGAGTCAGTATTCACTACTACTCAATGCCACTGAGTCCATTCCAAGTCAGAGTGACCCTATTGGACAGAAAAGAACTGCTCCTATGGGTTTCTGAGACTGTAACTCTTTACAGGAGTAGAATGCCTCATCTTTCTCTGGTGGAGTGGCTGGTGGTTTTGAACTGCTGACCTTGCAGTTAGCAGCACAACCTGTAACCACTACACCACCAAGGTTCTTCTGTCGGTTTAGTGGTCAAATGTGAACCATTTGTACAACTTAGGGACCTTGTCCCTGTCATAGAAGAGATAATAGTCCACAATTACTCTGATGACCATGCTGTATAGCCAATAGTTGGCACAAGTTTGTACAGATACAGAAAACACCAAAGGAGGAATAGGTGATTCTAACCTTTGGAGCTAATCTCGAAAGACTGGGACTCTTACTAGCCCTGAACAATGCCAAGCACCTAAATGCATTCTTTTCTTGTCTTGTAGGGGTTTTGATGTGGGAAGTCTACTCTCTGGGGAAGATGCCATATGAGAGGTTTACTAACAGTGAAACTGCAGAACACATTGCCCAAGGCCTACGTCTCTATAGGCCTCATCTGGCTTCAGAGAGGGTATATACCATCATGTACAGCTGCTGGCATGAGGTAAGTGGTTTACTGTCACTTCTCAAATTATATTCTCGAACCTACTTTCCCACGTAACCCAGCCATGTAACCCCCTTCCAAGGCTGCATGTCAGCTGGGCACAGACTAGTAACTGCACACGTTCCTTTACCCCAGCCTGCACCCCAAATTCTCTGATAGCCAGAAGTTTTCCCAGGTCTACCCCAATTCCCACAAGAGTATCATTGTTGTTAGTTGCTGTCATATCGAATGTGACTCCTGGGGACCCCGTGTGTGCTGAGTAGAGCTGCTCCATAGGGTTTCCAAGGATGTGGCCTTTGGAAAGCTGATTGCCAGGGCGGTCTACTGAGGAGCGCCTGGGTGGGTGTGAACAGCCAACCTTTCTGCTAGCAGTTCAAGTGCTTGATCTTTTGTGCCACCCATGGACTCCAGAGTACCACTGCTGTTCATTGTTAGGGGCTGATAAACTGGCTCTGACTCTCAGTGCTTTAGTGTACAATAGAACAGGCTCTATAATGATACAAGAGTGTCCTTAGCAGGCTCCAGTATCAGGTCAGTGCTAGAGAGAGATGGCTGTGGGGCCATATCACCTAGAAAAGCAGGCAACCCAAGTCACCCAGACAAGTGTATGGGCGTGAAAAGTCTTTAAAGTGTATGTTCATTTCTTTGAGAGGCACTGACTCTTTTTTTTTCTTAAAAAGATTTTTTATGCTTTAAAACTTTACACAGTAAATTGGTTTCCCATTCAACAATTCATACGTTGATTACAGTCCCCAAGATGTACTAGCACTCTTCCCACTTCCACCCTCCCTGTGTTTTACCATCATCATTCAACATTCTTTCCTGTTCCTTCTTGCTTTTAAGACTTTTTATCCATAAACAAATGCTATCCTTTTGATTTGATACGGTTGATTTTTCTAAGGAATGTATACCTCTCAGATGTTATTCTTCCCCTCCAATCCGGCACTGACTCTTTTTTCGACTTCTCTGGCTGGCTACCAACATTTTCTATCTTAGGTCCTTAGTAAGAGTACTTTTTAACCCTAATACTGGAAAGGGATATAAAATAAGTAGTACTTAAAAAAAAATACACTGTGTGTGGGGTGTAGTGTTTGGGGAATAAGAAACCAGTCTCACTATTATTAAATGTTTCACTCTTCTCACAGTGGGTTCTTTGAGAGGTGCTTTCTCTACTTTTCAGTAGCTGTTTTTTTAAATTTTCAAAACTTTTAGTATGTTAAAAATTGTTTAAAAATCATGTTATTGGGGCTCATACAGCTCTTATCACAACCCATACATACATCCATTGTGTCAAGCACCTTTGTGCATATGTTGCCATCATCATTTTCAATAGTTGCTACTTGAGCCCTGATATCAGCTCCCATTTTCCCCCTTCCCCACCCTCCCTGCCTCATGAACCCTTGATAATTTATTTATTTTTTCATGTCTTACACCGACCACTGTCTCCCTTAACCCATATGTAGATCATTGTGATCAGTTCCCCGTTTCTCCCCTTTACCCTCCTGATATCACTACTCTCATTATTGGTCTGAGGGGTTTATCTGTCCTGAATTCCCTGTGTTTCGAGCTCTTATCTGTACCAGTGTACATACTCTGGTCTAGCTGGATTTGTAAGGTGGAATTGGGTTCATGATAGTGGGCAGGAAGCATTAAAGAACTAGAGGAAAGTTTTTTAAAAATCATTTTGTTGGGGGTTCGTACAATTCTTATCACAATCCATACATCTATCCATTGTGTCAAGCACATTTGTACATTTGTTGCCATCATCATTCTCAAAATATTTGCCTTCTACTTGAGCCCTTAATATCCGCTCCTCATTTTCCCCCTCCCTCCCCATACCCCCTCCATCATGAAGCCTTCATAATTCATAAATTATTATTTTGTCATATATTACACTGTCTGACGTCTCCTCCCGCCCTCTTCTCTGCTGTCCATCCCCCAGGGAGGAGGCTATACGTAGATTCTTGTCATCGGTTCCCCCTTTCCACCCCACATTCCCTCCACTCTCCATGCATCACCACTCTCACTACTGGTCCTGAAGGGGTCATCTGTCCTGGGTTCCCTGTGTTTCTAGTTGCTATTTGTACCAATGTACATCCTCTGGTCTAGCCAGATTTGCAAGGTAGAATTGGGATCATGATAGTGGCGGGGGTGGGGTGGGGTGGGGAAGCATTTAAGAACTAGAGGAAAGTTTTATGTTTCATCTTTGCTACCCTGCACCCTGATTGGCTCATCTCTTCTCCACAACCCTTCAGTAAGGGGGTGTCCAGTTGCCTACCGATGGGCTTTGAGTCTCCACTCTGCACTCACCCTCATTTACAATGATATGATTTTTTGTTCTTTGATGCTTGATACCTGATCCCTTTGACAGCTCATGGTCACACAGGCTGGTGTGCTTCTTCTATGTGGGCTTTGTTGCTTCTGAGCTAGATGGGCGCTTGTTTATCTTCAGAACTAGAGGAAAGTTTTATGTTTCATGGGTGCTATACTGCACCCTGACTGGCTCGCCTCTTCCTTGTGACCCTTCTGTAAGGGGATGTCCAATTGTCTACAGATGGGCTTTGGGTCTCCACTATGCGATCCTCCTCATTCACACCGATAGGATTTTTTGTTCTGGGTTTTTCAGTAGCTTTTTGGAAACCTTAACTTGACAGCCAAAATCTCTTGTGGGTGTAATGTGCCACTCTCTTAATTCTGCCCCCCACAAGAAACTAGACAGATAATGTCCAACAGATACATATGCGCATCCGAAGATCTCTCGGTGAGATGAAGAGTGGGTATCTGGAGGCAAAACGTGGCTCCTTGCCCTCAAATAGCAGAGGTCACAAGGAAAGTGTGAAGAAAGGAAGAACCTCTTGGAAGGATTTCCCTTCTCTCTCTCCTCAACAGGCAGGGTTAAGGGGGACCAGCTACACTCCTTCACATCTAGGTCGCCATCACTCTGCTAGTGAAAAAAATATTATAGACCAGAACTTTCTCTGTGGCCTGTTTAAAGCCTCCAACAGCAAACACTGCCATTGAGTTGATTCGCTTTGGGCTGGTAGCTGTGAGGTCACCAGTTCAAAGTCACCAACTGCTCTGTGGGAGACAGAAGAGCCTTTATACTAACATAGAGTTACAGTCTCAGAATCCCACAGGGGCATTTCTACTCTGTCCTATAGGGTCACTATGAGTTGGACTGTTTAAAGTAGTTCACAAAATTGAATGAGCATCAGATCCCTCAGGAAGCCTTCAAAATAGATACTGGGCCTATTCACCAGATATTCTAATTATGTCTGGAGTGGAGCACAGAAATTTGTTTGTTATTCCCCTTGGCTATAATATTGATGGAAGCAGACTGTCAGGCCTTTCTTCCTTATCATCATGAATTGGGTTCAAACTGGCATCAACCAAACTCACTCCCATGGAGTCTATTTCAATTCATGATGACTTTATAGGACAGGGTAGAACTGCCCCTGTGGGTTTCCGAGACTGTAACTATTTATATGAGTGAAAAAAGCCTCATCTTTCTCCTGTGGAATGCACTGATTGTTTTGAAATGCTGACTTTGCACTTAGTGGCCCAGCTCATAACCACTATACCACCAAGGCCCTTAAAATGGCTTGAGCCAAGTGCAAACGATTTGTGCTGCACCGAGACCCTCCTGGAAATCCGGGGTTTCTTTTGTTTTAAACTTCTCAAGGAATAGTGAAACCTGAGAGTAACTGATTCAGAGCACAAAGGAATCAATGACCTTTGGGTTCTGACTGACGGAACCCGTGAATATGCCCTGAATTTCCAAATACTCCCAAGGTTTATGGGCTGTGGGTGGCAAAAGGAGCCTCAGTCTATAAGCTGAACAGTATTAAACCGTCTTGGGAGCTCAGGCTCCTTGCTCAGGGACAGCCTGTGATTTTGAAATGTCACTCCCTTTGTTAATTTTAAATATTAACATAGCAACAATGTTTGAAGCCAAACTAAAAAATATTTACAACTTATCAGATTTCAGTTCTTTCAACCACTTACATTTGCTTGGTAGCTGTTTTCTACTTGAGTTTAACATGTAAAATTACAGCCTAGGAAGCGCAATGGGGTAGTTCTGTTGCCACACGGGGTGGCTATGAGTAAGAAATTGACTCCACAGCACCTAACAACAACAACAACAAAACCTGAAATAAGATGGTTGGTATATAATTAGGTAATGAACCTATCCTAAATATTAATCAGTATGTTTGCCAGTATAATTTGTAAACTATTCTTATATCTGGGCTATTAGCAAATAAAATGGGAACAAGGGCTTTATGGAGAACCTGTATTTTTTTCTTTTTTCATTTCTCGACAGGGTATGCTGTTAGACATATTAAACTTTGTTGCATAATTAGTGCATTTTTCTTGATTGCTCCAGCCCACTGTAACCCTCTTTTGCTTTGATTTTAGAAAGCAGATGAACGTCCCACTTTCAGAACTCTTCTGAGCAACATTCTCGATGCCATGGATGAAGAATCCTGAGCTGGTCAATAAGCTTCTTAGTTCTCCACAAACCCTGATTTCACTTTCTCTGAAGAAAGCCTAGGCTTTCTGGTCCTGGGGCCTTTATGTTCCCACTGTGTACACAAAAGGCCTCTCTTTACACCTGGGAAAGCCTCTCTGATTCCACTGAAAACAAAGGCCGAAGAATTATTTTCTGCCTGGTATTGTGCCCACTCCCCGGAAATTTCTCAAGGTTATTAAAACAGACTGACTTTGGAATGGAAACATTTGGGGATGGGTGAGGAGAGAGGGGTGTAAATAGCCTTCTCTCAAAAAGTCCAAGAACATTTGGGGTAGGCATTAGAGCTTGGGGAGGTGGGAGGCAGGGTCAGAACTTCGCAAGAATAAAAACGGGAGGGGAGGACGTTTTTGATAAAATAAAATTACTATAAACCTTGAAGGCGTCTCTCTGGGTTCATCACAGCCTCCCCAAAGCGCCTATCTCAGTATGCCCCTTCCTTGGTATTGGGTCGATGCATTCCTGCACTGAGAATGCCGCAGGCTGGGCATCCAACCCCTCAAGGTCTTAAAAGAATTCCAAGCCAAAGCAGTGTGGGGCACACAGAATGACATGAAATATTAGGATGAATCCAAAAGTTAAGGCTAGATTTGGCTAGGGCTTTCTTCCTTAGGTCAAGAGGGAGAAATCCCCTCCAAAAAGTAGAGGGAGGGGCCAACGATGATTAAGAGGGCTAAGGAGATTCTGCGCGCCTAACTACGGTGGCTGCGAAAGCCCGGGGGCCTTGGAAGCGGCCAGAGGGGCGGGGCTTGTCGGACGGCGGCCCACGTGGTCTGAAGTAAAGAAAGCCACAATTGTTTCCTTTTGCGCGGTAACTTCTTGCCAGCGCCCCAGAGGCCCTGGGCTTCACGTCCTACACAGTCAAGGCACAGGAGGAGCGCCGCCCAGGGCCGCGGGCAGACCCTCCAGCAGGCCAGAACTGGGAGACGTGGCTGGGGCAGGCGGCGGCGGAGGCGGCGGGAAGCCAGCCGAGCAGCCACGAGGGGCGGTCTCGCACAGACGCAGTGCGCTCCCGGAGGGGGGGCGGGGCGGGAGGGGCGGTCCTTAAGCCGGTGGGTTGTGCTTCCGGTTCCGTCGCGAAGACACGTGAAGGTCGCTGAGTTGGTGCGGAGTTGCTCTGGGTTCGCGTGGTGGCGCTGGGATGGATTCCTCCTCGTCTTCCTCTGCGGCCGGTTTGGGTAGCTTGGACCCCCAGTTGCAGCATTTCATCGAAGTGGAGACGCAGAAGCAGCGCTTTCAACAGCTGGTGCATCAGATGACTGAACTTTGTTGGGTGAGGATCTCGGGGCTGGGATTTGGCCACTTTACCCACTTTCCCTCTCCCCTGACCCCAGAGACCCAGGACATCATCGGAGATTCGGGAGAGGGAGGACCCAGCAGCACTGTCTTACGTTCTTTAGATTCCTGATAAGGGTCCCTCCACTTCTAGGGGTGTCACTCCGGACCTCGGTTTTGTTGGGACAGCGGATTGAGGAATCAAAGAAACTTAGGCCACTGCTGCACCCGACCCTGTCACCTGAGATGGGCGCTGACTAGTGCTGGTCACCGTGGGAAACTAGATCATTTAGTTCTGGGATTTTCATTTTAAAAGCCCAAGTACCACAGGGGCAGTGAATCTGCTATTCCTGAAGTTCTCAAGGTTTATCTTGATTGCCCCAGTGGCTCTATCAAGCCAACTACTAGCCTAAAAGTGGCGTAATTTCTCCCCCATTGTACACACTCCGTTGCCTTGTTGGATGGTTGTGTAACACCAAGCCCCTGTGGGTCTGAAGGTTGAGGAAGTTGAGTATGGCACTGAGGGGACTTTGGCAAAAGGGTGGAAGGCATTTGCAGCTTGGGATCAAAGTGCCCAGACTGCCAAGGAAGGCTGTACTCCCCACAGAAGTCAGAGGCCAAGAATAACTTTCCCTGGAATTGGAAGGGCAGAGGCTCGAGGACACTCAGCAGATACTAATGGAACGAAATTCCTTCGAATTACTGAAATTGGAACTATAATACAGTCATCGCCTTCTGCACTCCCTTTCCCCATAAACTTTAATGTTCTGGCTGGACCATGATCCTCAACAAAGGCTTGCTTTCACCAGAGTGGTGGAATTAATATTTTTTAATCCTGTGATGAATTGAAAGTTGGGTCAGAGCTTGGTTAAGTACGCCTTTAAGAATCTGTAAGGTATGGGCCCTTCGGGAAATTTTAGAGAATTTCCCACTCCATTTGAGAGGGTTTAAGAACCTCTAGCTTAAATAAACAAGATTCCAGAATCTCAGGCCATAGATTCACACCCAATATGGTAAGTTTTGAGAGGCTGGGTTGCTGCCAAAATTTACCTTTTTGCCCTGCAGTTAACCTGAAGGCATTTCATGCAAGCAGAATTAAGGTTAGAACCAAAGGCTGATCTCAGCAGTACCGAATTCAAAGAAGGACTATGTCACATATTTTGCCGTTTTTCTGGCTTACAATTTTGGGCAAAATACCTCTGTGTGACACAGTGGCTGCATTAAGGGGCTTGGGCATAGGAACAATTGTGAGGATGGCACAGTATTTTGTTCTGTTGTGCATTGGGTCGCTATGGGCCGGAGTCAATTTGATGGCGCCTAATAACACCACCGCCACCTCTGAGGTTTAGTAATATGGTGAAACCTGTGAAAGCCAAAACTTGATGGTACTGCCTTGTTTTACGGAATCACACAAGTTTTCTGCCTTTAGACAGGGTCTTACCACTTTTCTAATGTGCTGTTAGTGGAAAGGATTTAATTTTCCTTCTCTTGACAGGTTATCCCCTCACCCAGTTTACAGCTTTTGCTGGAATGATAGTATCTGTTCCACAGCCTTGTGAAAATGTAATGTACGGCTATAGAGAACAGTTGGACCCATGGTAAACTGCTGAGTGTTTAGTTTGCTTACTGTCAGATGCTATTCTTAGGTGACGTTTTCTCTCTAATGAGTAAGTAACCTCTCCTATTCCCCACACCACGTTCCCTTTGTGATTATGTGTCTTGTCCCGAGCAGGAGAAGTGCATGGACAAACCTGGGCCAAAGTTGGACAATCGGGCTGAGGCCTGTTTTGTGAACTGTGTTGAGCGGTTCATCGATACAAGCCAATTCATCTTGAATCGACTGGAACAGACCCAGAAATCCAAGCCAGCCTTCTCAGAAAGCCTTTCTGACTGATCTCAGCATTACCTCTGTGGAAAACAAATGAAGTTCAAGAAACGAGCTGTTGATGGGATTGTTGAAGCCAAGGTTATGGGGGATTAGTGACTTCCACCTTTCCTTACTTTGGGGACATTTAGTCATCTGAGAATGAACAAAGACCGCGTGTGTGTGTGTGTGTGTGTGTGTGTGTGTGTGTGTGTGTGTTTTGATGCCTTACATGTATCAGTCGTGGGTGGTTTTTTATTTTGTTTTTTAACTAAATGAGTATAAAACTCTTACTAGAATGTATATAACTGCATGTAGGTCTGTGCTTTTCTCCAAAGTCCCGTTAACTGTTTCCTATAATTTGAGAGTGGAACTGCTTTCTGTAATGTGATTGTGGGACCACATGGGTTTTTAAAAAAATCTGCCATTTGTTGTATGGGTTCATTTTTAGATTTCTGGGGAGACAGATTCATCTGTATCAAAAAGGACAGGCATGGGGGGGGGGTTGGTACTCTTTTAACTGTATGCCTCCTTCTCTAGTGTTTGTCAGTACTGGATAAAACATTTGTGGAACATATAGTGTGTACTTCAGTTTTCTTGATGATCGCCTATGAAACACCTGTATGGTCTCTGGAGGCCATACAGGTAGCTTGAGAGTCAAGAGGCCTTTAATTGTGAAGGAACGGAGCCAATGAATATAATTCTCATTTCTAGACAAGGCAGAGTTTTACTCCCTGTATTTTAGGGTACAAAACTTTTCAAAGGTGTGCCCAAAGTAGTTCTAAACATGTAGGCCAGTCAGAAACTAACAGCAGTTTCAGAGAGAGCTGCATGGCTAATGTTAATCAGCATAGATTCCATTTGCTGCATTCTTTTGATCACTCAAATAAAAGCTAAATGATTCAGCTCTGTGATTGAGGCTTTCTGTTTGATTAGCACTTGCAACTCGAGATTTGGTGTGGGCTGGTTAGTCTGTCTGGCTACTTGGTCTGTGTAAGGCATTGCACAACTGTTTGATGGATCCCTGGCTGGTTTATGGGGGGTGGGGGGAATGGTGAGATGAGGAAGAACCTTGAGATGAGATGGGGAGGGAAGGAAGTCAATGCTAAGAGTTAAGCTCCGGCGTGCAGTGAAGAGATGATATTGACTGGATTCCCCTCCACTTACTTCTACTACTGGGGTGTGTAGACCTATAGCACTTTTCAGAGCCTGTAGTGCAAATTCATGAAAATTGGGGAAATACACATTTCTAGACATCTCAGACCCCTGCTTAGCTTTTTCCTATATAAACACTACAAGGAGATTTTATTTTAATGTGCCAGGCATTGTTTTGTTTTGGTGCTAGAGATTGAGTGGGACAGAAAACAAAAGTCCCTGTCCTTGCCCACGCCTACCTTGTAGGAAGAAATGGGCCATAAACATGGTACTAGAACACAGGCTGTGGAGCAAAAACCAGAGAAGGGTGTTAGGGAATGAATAGGTGGGGTGAGTGTCTTATAGAAGAGGACCGATCATTAGAGGAGACCTAAGGAAGGTGGTTTTTCAGCAGAAAGCTGAAGAAGCGAGTGACCCAAGTCACATGGCCACCTAAAAGAATATCTCAAGCAGAGCTAACTGCATATCCAATGGCCCCATGGATATATACCTTATAAAACAGCCTGCGATCCTTTCCTTCTAGCTGCACTAAAGGAAGAATAGTGAAGAAAGAAGGTTGGAGGAATGTTGGACTAAAAAAATGGCATGTTTTCAAGGCCCAAAAGAAAACAGGTTTAGGGTTTTGTTTGTTGTTTTTTTTAGGGTATTTTTTAATCATTTTATTAGGGGCTCATACAACTCTTATCACAATCCATACATACATCAATTGTGTAAAGCGCATTTGTACATT